AGGCATTCCCTAAAGACTCATCTCTTCAGGGAAGCCTATTCCACCTCAACCTAACCGCTCAACCATCAAGTTCTCAAACAATTCATCCCCACACAGCTCCCTCCTCATGTATCACTTCCCCCTCCCTTTTAGATTGTAAGCCCTCAGGGGCTTACCATCTTGTCTTGATTTGTATTGTGATTGTAATGTCTTCCCTATATTGTAAAGCGATGCGCAAACTGTTGGAGCTATATAAATCCTGTATAACAATAATAATAGTTGCTACCGTGGCCAAATGCAGCCAGAAACTTGATTAAAGAATCACAGTATTAAGGTAAGTAAACCACATACATCTCCCTCACTAGAGACGAGATATCCATCACCTAAGGACACTAGTAGAGCTGCAGCTAACGATTATTTTCAAAATCGATTAGTTAGCCGATTATTAGGTTCGGTTAATCGGATAAATAATAAAATAAAGTTTAAAAAAAGGCTCCATTGATGGGACTACTAGTGTTTATTGAGGTTGTAGTCCATCACAGGAGCAAGCTTGGAGCGGTGGAAGTAAAAAAGAAAAAAGATAGTGTGGTGTGCAATATAGTGAAATGGAAAGTGTAAAATTATACAGCAATGAATGCAGAATGGCACCGGCTATAGAGGACTACAAAACCCAGCAATAGTACATTATACAGCACAATGCAGAATACCATCAGCAATAGTACATTATAGCTGGTGGTATTCTGCATTGCACTGTATAATATACTATTGCTGGGTTTTGTAGTCCTCTATGGAATTTGTATTCCTATGTATAATATACAGCACAAATGTACCATCAGCTATAGAGGAATACAAATTCCAGCAATACATTATAGAGCACCATGTGTGGGAAAGTGCAGGCTTACCTGAGCAGTCTTCCAGCAACTTGCTTTTGAGATCGGACCTGTCTATCGGCGGCTGTCATCACCCCACACCTGCTCCCCCTTAGTACATCTCCCCGCGTCCCTGTGCCGATCGTGGATGTGGGTGAGCGGTGAGTGTGAGGCGGGGAGGAGGTGCGGCGCGTGGATGCGGCTCTGGCAGCGGCGAGCGTGAGGGGGGGAGGAGGTGCGGCGCACAGCGTGTGGAGTTGTGAACAGGGCCAACTGATCGGAAGCCGATAATCGATTATTGAAAAAGTTGACAACTTTTTCAATAATCGATTATGTCGATTAGTTGTTGCAGCCCTAGACACTAGCAAAAACCTGAGGATTTCCTGGAGGGGGAGGGGTCATATGGGGGTTGTCGCAGCTCTGGCCAGTGTCCAATCACCTGATGATACCTGCATATTACCCAGATGTGTCTGCATCCCATAATGTACGATTAGGAAATAAGACCTTTTCCATGTTAGGTTATATTGTGTCACGTCTTTAACAAAATTCTTATAAAACAAGAACAATTTGGAGATCTGCAAGTGCCAGTGGAGGCATTAATATAATTTGCAATTAGTAACTGGATACCTGGTTTGCTGAATGAACTTTCCTTAACCCCCATTCACACCTGAACATTTTGTTGAGCATTTCTCAAAGCGCAACAATGCTCAACATAAAGAATCACATTCTTTTCAATGGTGCCCATTCACAGCTGAGCATTGTGCTGCCTGTAGTTCAAAATTAGAAACATTTGTTATCAATATTTACTGTAATTTTCTTTTCCTGAGGACTCATCATGTCAGCCTACTTTTTAGTTGGCTCCACCCCTGTGATCCCACAGGACAACCCCCTAAAAAGTAATGACAACAGAACACCAGGGAGGGAAACCTAGACTGCCATGATGAGTCTCCAGTAGCGCAAGTATTCATAATTTTCCATATTGCTGGAGCTCTTCATGTTAGCCTAGTTATGGGATGTAGCGAACAACAACAAAAAAGAAAAAGTGGGAGGGGAAAAAAAACCCAGCACATTGCATCGATTGAATGCAAAAAGATTTTAATAATCACCATATATTAGTCGGCTCTTGTCGCAGAAAGGACCAAAGCCCCTAAAAGACTGAGGAGGGCCATAAGCCACATCAAGCTGGTAATGATGGATAAAGGTATTGGGTGACTTCCAGCCAGCAGCTTTGCAAACCACTTTAGCCGGCACCTTGGTGATACTTGCCCACAAAGCAGCCGTTGTCCTTGTGGAATGAGCCGAGACCTCTTCCAGGAAGGAAAGGGGGGTGGATGGGGTGGAAAACCCACAGTTCTATAGGTTTACTATCCAGGTCAAAATGATTCTAGCTGAAGCTGCCTGGCCTCTTCCAGGACCTTCAGTAGGAATGAAAAGATTCTTATGAAATTCTCTTAGTTATCAGCTATGGGTAGTATGGAAGAAAGAACCATCTCCCAATCCAGGTGGAAGGTCGAAGCTACTTTTGGAGCACAATTGAAGGACCTGTTACCATCTCCTTCAGCAGTGGGAGCCATGGGAGATTTAGCCAAAAAGGACATAATCGCAATAGCACACTCTCTGTCCCACTTCAGAGATAGAGCATCCTGTCCCCTTGGGTGCGGATAGTAATAACGAGAAAAGAACTTGCAGTAGACATGCATTGCTTGGTATCACCATTAGATCCACCTTTGGTGTTCTCCACAACTCTAAAATCTGAAGATACTTGCTGTTCAACATCCACTCATTTCGGCTCAGAGAACGTCAGCTAAGGAGTTCTGAGCACCTGCAAGATATGAGGCCAACAGAGAAAGGACGTTTTGTTCTGCCCAGTGAAATATTTCCACTGCAATCTGTAGTAAGGGCAAGCTTTTTGTCCTGCCTTAATTGGAGACATAAGCTAACCCCTTTCTATTGTCTATTTGCAGCTTCATGTGGTGTGTTGATTCAGTGACTGCCAATCCCACTGCAGAAGGAAAGTGAACTGAAGTTGAAGGAGATGCCAATGAGTCCATGCCACTGTGAGAATGGAGAAATGTATCAAGTCTATAACCTTCATACACTCTCTTGCTGACACCAATTGTACCTTCTTCAGAGTGCGGGCTGTTAACACCAACCTGGTAATCTTCCTCTTCAGAAGAAGCACCCTTTCCTGAACTCTACCCCAATGTATTATACACCTTTTGACACGACAAATAGAGCATTCATTTGGTAGCAATTATATCTACATATATTTTATTTCCTTGTATTTATTGAGAATAAATAGTAAAGACAAAATGCATTTTCATGTCCCCCCATATGTACCCCAAAATATAATCAACAAAGTCTGCTGATTAAAATCATATTATTATTCTACAGGATGTATGTAGCGCCAACAGTTTGGGGAGCGCTTTACAATATAGGGAAGACATTACAATCACATTAAAATTCAAGACAAGATGGTAAGGAGGGCCCTGCCCCTGAGGGCTTGCAATCTAAAAGGGATCACATTAGTGTGACTTATGTAATGTAGAGGAATGGTAAAGCTCAAAGTCAGAGTAAGCATTTTGTTTGAGCTGTATTCCCCTTTCAACAAAAATGGTTTGTACAAACTGTTAGTGTAACATTAAAATGAGGTTAAGTTAGTTCAACAAGGTCTCAAATGTTTGTTTGTGATTCCTAAAAGTTTAAATGCATTCACCTATGTGAGCACTTGATGTTTGCTTGTGCAAATGTCATCCAGATGTGACGTCATTGTTGCGATCTGAGGATAAATCTGGGAGGGAATATTTGTTATATATATATATATAT